AGCCTCAGTTTCAGTGGAGACCCCAGCTTTTTGGAGATGCCGTGACCATGGGACGACCACCAAGAACAGCAGTAAGTGTGGAATGGAGCTGGCCTGGGTCTGCAAGACAAGCCATGTGCTGTGGACTGCAGAGACAGAGCAATGGAACTGCCAGTACCCTTTGGAGCCCAGAAGATCGTGAGTGAATCCCAGATGTCCAGCCTCAAGCTACTTTGCTGGATTTTGGTTTTGCTTAGGTGTGCCCAATTCTTCCCTTTGAAATAAGACAGTACTTATTTTGGATTTTACAGAAGCCCACCCACAGATGAGACTTTTTAAGAGACTGAACTTTTATGTGTTTGGATTTTTTAAGGACTGTGGGGTTTTTTAAGGTTGTACTGTCTTGTGATATTAGCATCAAATCTTGGGGACAAAAATTGGAAAGTTATGGTTTAATAGTGATGTTTGCATGTCAAGTTGACAAGGGGTCAATTGTGCTGGATAGCTTTAGTGTCAACTTGACACACCTGGGTTGAGGGAGCCTCAATTGGGGGAATTTCCTTTATTGGACTGGCCTGTGGCCATGTCTGAGGGGCATCTTCTTGATGAGTGATGTGGGAGGGCCCAGCCCACTGTGGGTGGCGCCACCCCTGGGCAGGTGGGCCTGTGTTGCATAAGAAAGCAGGCTGAGCAGGGGCCAGGGGAGCAAACCAGTAAGCAGCATTCCTCCATGGCCTGTGCTTCAGCTCCTGCTTCCAGGTTCCTGCCCTGAGTTCCTACCTTGGGCTCCCTGATGAACTGCAACCTGGGAGTTGTAAGCTGAATAAACCCTTTCCTCCCCAAGTTGGGATTGATCAGAGTGTTTTGTCTCAGCAATGGAGAAACAAACTAGGACACATGGATTGGGTAGTTGATCTGGATGTGTGTAGTGTATGAAATTTTAAAAGCTCAATTTAAAAAAAAGGTTTAAAAAGCAGTCTTTGTTAGCTAATAAACACAGCTATCATTATAGATAAAAGAACTGATTACTAAAATCCATTTATATATGCTTTACGTTAAATTAGACATGACCATAAAGGAGTCCCTCAGTTTCACATTTTTATATCATGTCAACATGAAGTGGCACTGTTGGTGTGAAAGTTATTAGTACAGCCACATGGAAAAACAGTATGGACGATCCTCAAAAACTACAGTAGAACTACCATGATCCAACAATTCCACTAATGGGTGTATATCTGAAGGAAATGGAATTGGTATGTTGAGACAGCTGCACTCTGTCCATTGCAGCATTCTTCATAACAGCCAAGAAATGGAAACAATTTCAATGTCCATAAACTGATGAGTGAATAAAAAAAATGTGGAATATACAACTCTGCCTTACACAGGAAATCACATTATTTGTCACGACACAATGACACTGGAGGTCATTATGTTAGATAAAATAAGACAGGCACAAAAAGACACTGATGTCACAGAAGTTGAGGATTGAAGGGTGGTTACTAGAACCCCAGAAGCAAAGAGACAAAGAAGGTTGATCAGTGATAAGTAAATGTTAACTGATGAGAAAAAAATTCTGGAGTGCTGTTATTGCATAGGAGGGTCATTATAAATGCCTATAATGTACTATATATTTTAAAAAACAGAAGAAGGAATTTTGAATATCTTTGCTATGTGATTATTGTGTGATCAGTATATATGTTCACCTTGACATATATTACATTACACAGTGAGCACATGCATGTTGGCATTACGCAGTGCCTCTCAAGTATGCACAATTTTAATGTATCAGTTTAAAGATCACCTCAGGCACTCAGTTCCCCAGCATGCATACTAAAATATGGAGCGATACAGAGAAGATTAGTATGGCCCCTGTACAAGGATCCCATGCAAATCGAGAAGTGTCCTGTATTTTTTTGCCACATTCACACCTTTAATCCTACTATTGGGAGGCCGAGACAATTAGATCTCTGTGAGTTCCATGCCAACCTGGTCTACATAGCAAGCTCCAGACCAGTCAGACCACACAGTGTGACACTCTCTCAAAAATCAAGCCAAACCCAAAACCAAAACCAAACCCAAAACAAAACAAAAGAAAACAAACAAACAAAAATAATAGAAAAAAGAAAAAGAAAAATTTTAGTAAAGTGTAGTAGCTTTTTATTCTCAACATCATGCTTTTCAATGGGTAATTCCAATTTGTTACTTTGACATACTAGGGAATGTTAGGAAGATCCAATTATTTATTTAATTTTTTTTTCTTGGTTTTTTGAGACAGGGTCTCCCATTTGCCCCAGCTGGCCTGGAATTCACTATGTAGACCAGGCTGGCCTTGATCTCACAGAGATTCTCCTGCCTCTGCCTTCCAAGTGATGGAATTAAAGGCATGCACCATCACACCTAGGTAGGCAGTTCCATTTCTTATGTGAGGGGTGTAAGCAGAGGTAGTGGAGGATGGAAGGACAACACAGTTAGCCATTGCTATGCTGTGGAGAGTCAACATTTAGCCTGAGCTGCTGCGTAAAAGAAAGAAAGGGCATTACTACACAATCTTTGATGCTCAGACTTAAGAACAACAGCAAAAAAACAGAAACCAGATTCCCTATTCTTTTTTCCTATTGTCTGAGTTTAACTTAAACATCAGAAATCTCTCTCAGGAGGCAGAGGCAGACGAACCTCCGTATGTTCTTTGTAGGCCAACCTAACCCTCATAGTGACTTCTGGGCGGGCTGGGACTAGGGATGCCCTATCAAAACCCAAACAAAACAAACAAAAACAAACGACAGCAAAAAACAAAAACACCAGAATTTTAATGATGTGTCAATGGCATATAGATACATTGTTAGCAGGGCCTTGGGAATTCTTAGAGGAAGAGTCTCGTCTTCAAGAGTCCCTTGAAGAGTCTCCTCTCAAAGTGCTTCAGAACATAGATCTTAGAAAAGAAGACCAGTGAAAAGGGTAAGACTCCAGCTTTTATTTTCCATTACTATTTGTGAGGATGCAGGAAAGAACGTGTGTGGTATCATATTCTTACAAGAGCAGGCGGAACCTGACTACCTGGAACAATTGCTTAAACTTACTTTATTGTTCAAAGCCTTGACATTCATTTCCTTGTTTTAAAGTATTGCAAATATA